GCAGAGCCCTGTGCTTCCAGAGTCTCAGGAAGACCAGTGTTCCCCCACGGCATGCATGGGAGAGTGTTTGGGAATGCAGCAGATGGATGAGATCGCTGTATGATCTAGTTGTCCACACATAGAGGCATCAGAAGACCAGTGTCCCCCCACAGCATGCATGGGAGAGTTATCTGGGAATGCGGCAGATGGATGAGATCACTGTAGGATCTAGTTGTCCACACATAGAGGCATCTACTTTCCCATAGGTCCCTTATTATTAGCCAGCCCCATGTCAATGTCCTCAGATTACTCTAAATATTTATGTGTGAGCTGTTTTGAATTCTCAAGCAGGTCCTTTATTATTAGTCGGCCTCATGTCAATGTCCTATATGTAGGGCATCTCAGATTACTCTAAGTACTTATGTGTGAGCTGTTTTGAATTCTCAAACAGTACTGTCAATGGAGTTTCAAAGTTTATCAGCTTAAGAGTAGGCATCTACTTAGGGATAAGCTGAACTGTTCTGCAGCTTCCATGGACTAGAGTAAATAGCTATTAAAAAAAAAACAGAGGGAGAGAAGACACTAAAATGGTGCTTAAATGTTAAAGAATATTTTTATTTTCACAAATGCACAAAAAAATGAAAGCATGAACCTGAAGAACATCCATGCATCAAATATCTTTTGCATGCTATCCTTTGGTGCCATGAGGTGTGTGTCATGCCTTATGTTTGCTGGGGTGACTGACTGAGATGGTAGGGAGATGGCTGATGGATTAACCTCTAGAAACCCAACTGTGTAGAGAAGAGGAGGTCCAGAACCCTCGATGGTATCAGGTCTCCCTATAAGACACAGCCGTATCACTACAGTTTTGTGTCTGGAGTGGTCACAGACTATGTTGACAGAGGGAAATCTCAGATGAGGAAGTGGCTCTGGGCTCCTCTGAAGGGATTTGGAATGTTACGACATTTGGAAGGACCATGCTGGACTCAGAGAGGGGCAAAGACAGTATGGGGCGGTCACAAGATGAGAGTCAATCCTTCCTAGCAGAATCAGTTACAACACTTGGTACCTGGTACTGCATAACCTGAGGACAGAACCAGCAACACAATTTGGCCCCCGTATTCTGTTCTAGGCATGACACAACAGTCCTCAGGAGCGTCACATCCTGGCAGACACCAAGAAAGCTCCAAGGCACCAACAGCCCCTACATATGGGGGCCTAGAACAAGCCTCACAGAACTGATCCCCCTTGCATGGTGTCTTCTCCCACCAGCTGAGAATTTTTGTTGCCAGGATCATCCGTAGGAACTGCTCTTGCTGCCAGCTGCTCTGCTCCATGTGTTGAAAGGGAGATTTCAGAGATAAGCAGATCCTCCATGTGCACAAAACCTGTAGAACATAGGGATTCAGTCACAGGCTTCTCCCATGCATCACAGGGAACACAGCCTGAAACCTGCCCTTTAATGTGACAGCTAAAGGTTCTTGCTCAGGTGCTGCTTTTGCAGGGGACTGATACCCCTCATATCCCTCTCTAGACACAATCTTCAATATTTGTCAAAGAAATTGGGTACATCTGGCCCTGAAAAGAATACCTCCCTCATCTCATCATGCACAGGCCTATAAGTAACACCTGTACCAATGAGACAGATGGGTAAAGGTCATGCTTTCCTGGACCGCAGTGCAGAGTTCACAACAGAATTCACAGAAACTTCTCTGAATTACCCGTCATAGCGTGTCTTTCTTGGCCACTTCCTGCTGTTCTGTCCCTTTTTGAGACGAAAAAGATATAGGACTGCATTGATAAAGCTATTAGCATGAGGAAGAGATTGGCCCAGCCCCTCATCCTTCCTTTCACTTCTCGGAAAGGAAAATGCATCATGGGAATTCTGTTTTCCCAGTGTCCATCCCATCCCTAGAAGTTCAGAAATGGAACAGTTCTTGGTCCTTTCTCACTGCAAAGGGGCAGGGTGGGATCCAGCAAAGCTGCTCATTGCATGAGGTAAATAAGCCCATGTAATGTAAAGTTTGTTCAGGCAACAGAAGGAACCGCAGTAGAACATTCAGCAAGGTCAAAGGCAGTTCCACCAACATGTGTGCTGTAACCCAAAGTTAGTAATCCAAATGTGTCATAATCCAACGATGGTGTCAAAGTGAAAGGACAAAACTGGAAGAAGGAGAATGTTAGAAGGTGAAAGAGACCAGGCAGGAAAGGTCACAGCAGAACAGGAAAGTCCTTGAGAAGCCAAAGCAGAATAGGAAGCTATTTTCAATATGAGCCAAAAGAAATATTCTTCCTTTCAAAGGTTCACTGACATCAACATTTTGAACAAACCTCATTTCCAACCATCTTCCTCTAGAAATTCTGCTACCCTACTCATCTATGGCATAGCTCACCTGGAGCGGAATTAAAAACCCTGCTTTGTATTCTTCTTCTCTTCTGATAAACAATGATCCCACAAAGTAGCATCAAGACTGGTGCCATGATTGAGACAAGCAAAGGGAGCAGTGGAAGAGGCTGTGAAGACTGCAACATAACAGGACCTGTGGGGGGGAAGTAATACTCTGTTCATATAGAATTAATTCAAGAAAGAAAAACAAATTTATCAACAGCACAAAAAGATAAGACAAAAAGAGCTTACACCATGTAAAGTTCCCATGAGACAGTGGAAAATAATTTTCTCCCGTAAAAGTGGCTAAATATTGGAAGACATCAGAAAGGCAGTGGAACTCCATTCTTGGAGACCTTCAAATTTATCTAGTGAAGACCATGAACAACATGGTCTAATTGTCAGTGGGAGATTGGATCAAAACTCTCCAGAGATTGCCACCAACCTACCTTATTCTGTGATCCTTGAATTCAGGAAAGGAGATTCAGAGAAAACATCTACTAAGTTCCTGGCATCATCACACACAGTTCCCTACATGCTGTGGTACAGCCTCTCCAGCTGCCCATTGCACTGTCATGGCCATTCAAAACTCACCTACATGCACCACTGGGGAAGTATCACAACGGTCTACCTCAGGGGTGGACCTCTGAGGTCCTTTCAATGTGCCTTCAATCTGACTGTTCCAAGCGGGACACTCTTCAGAATGATTTATTCCCAGAGGGTATTGCTAGGGCTGGACCATCTCCAAACAGTTCTTTCTGTAAATCACATTACACAGTTGCTGCTGTTCTGTCTCCACTGGCTTTGAGCAGAGTCTAGAGGACCTGAAGCTCTCCAGACTTTTCCAAAGGCCAGTGGGAAGAGAGAGGCAAGGCTGGATATTGAGATAATTTTTTCCAACACCAACCATGATTCTCAGCTTCCCAGTTCAGCCATAAGGATGTTCCACATACTGTAGTTTTGCGGGTGGAAGTCCTCCTTTTTCTATCCTGGAAGGTTTTCCTCATAAGGAAGATTTCCTAGTGTCAGTATTATTCCCCATGATGTCATGGTGAGTGTATGCTCATAAATCCCTGTCCTGGGATGAAGATGTTGACCATGGTGCTAAACACAATTCTGTTGTGTCAGATGCCGTCTAAAAGCTTGTGCTAATGAAATCAAATATTTTGTCCTCCCTCCTGAGCCACTGAGCCTCAGAAGTGCTCGGCTTAAATAAGGGGATAATGGCAGCATGCTTTACTTCCTGATGAGATCATTTTCCAACAGGATAGTGGTCACATTACCTGAGCACACTACACCAGCATCTTCTCCGTGGTTGCAGTTGTGTTGCCCCCATGGCCTGGCCTGGCATTCTGAGAGGGTGCCTTCCCTCCCTGTGCAGTTCACGTTGTCCAGCCAGATGGCCTTCTGTCCTTGACCAAACCGAGCTTTTCCAGGGGCCAGGATTGCCGTTCCACAGCCCAGCTGATGGCACACCACTGCAGCATCCTGTATGTCCCAGTCATCATCACACACAGTTCCCCAAAGCCCCTTATGATGCACTTCGACTCTCCCAGCACAGAGATTTGAGCCGTTCACCAGCCGCAGTGCTGTGGGTTCTGAAATAGGAGAAGACTCACTTTTGGCAAGTGGAAACGAAGCCTTCATTCTTTGGAGATGCCTTCACTGATTGCCTCTTTCCACTCCTGCACTATTCACTGAGATCATGTGACTAATAGGCATCACCAAATTTTGCATTTTTTTCTGATAATTTCTGTTGAGAAATTTCTCTTTGCATTTCCAGCCATTTAGAATAATACTTCTGCAAGCCCGTATAATGGAAACAATTTTGAAATCTAGACCCCCTCTGGCACCAAACTCCTAGCAGAGAAAAGATTCTGGGCTGAAATGGTGCTTGGTGGCACTGAATCACTGAGGCCTTTGCTGTCATTGAGAAGGTCCTGTCATTGTGCTGAGCATCCCCAAACACCAGAGAGATTTAGAATATTTAAACCTAGGTTTTAGTTTAACGTAAGTTAGAATAAGACAATTTATGGAAAAGAGAATATTAAGATATGCTCTCTGAAAAAGAATAAAATCCCAATATACTTTTGCAAGATGAGTCCTTTCTTCCTATCCTGTTCTCAACCTAACAAATTAGAGCTTTCTGGAATGCACCAAAATCTAGATCTCATCTTTTATATACCTAGGGAGACTTAGCCATATCCGTCATTGGGTTTTGTTTGTTTGTTTGTTTTAATTCTTTGGTTCAACAACAACTCTATATTTTTCAGTTTGCTCTAGTCTTCCATCTCCCCAAGATTTTACTGGCAAGCACAGCTACTGAAAAAGGTAGACAGGTCCTCTACAGAACAGCTCTACTTCAGAGTTTGATATTGCACAAATTCAGAAATTCAAATTCACAAATTGCACTTCCCCTGCTTGGGGAAAAAAAAATTACCTGAGCACACAACACCAGCATCTTTCTCATGGTGGCAAACAGCTGGTTCTCCAATCTTGGACCTGCATTCAGAGAGGATGGATTCTGTCCCTGTGCACTCAACATCATCCATCCAGATATGGTCTGTCCCTTGACCAAACTGGGCTGAGCCTGGAGCTGATAGAGCCATCCCACAGCCCAGCTGCCGGCACACAACGGCACACAGCTTCTGCATCGCTCAGGTCCCAGTGATCATCACATACAGTTCCCCATTGCTGGTTATGAAGCACCTCAACTCTCCCAGAGCAGCGGTTGGACCCATTCACCAGACGGAGCTGAGCTGGTCCTGGAATTACAAGAGACAAATGCAGGTCAAACACATGAATTCTTGTAGCTCACCAGAGGTGGGGCCTCAGGCCATAGCCACTTGCAATGTGAAGGAAAGATTATCACCAGCAAACACACAGACATCTAATTCCATTTTAAATGCCCTCAGGTATCCAAGATAATTGGGTTTGCATGATGAAGATGGGGCCTCAGACCATAGCCACTTGCAATGTGAAGTAAACATTATCACCAACAGACATCTAATTCCATTTTAAATTCCCTCAGGTATCCAAGATAATTGGGTTTCTTTAGTTATACACATGCTTCCCTTATGGGGCACAATTGTGTGCTGACTCCATCATTGACATTGCTCCATGCAGAGATGCACCATGTGGGCCTGGAGGAGTGTCTTACCTATGCACACCACACTGGCATCTTCTCTGTGGTTACAGTTACTCTCTCCCCATGGCCTGGCCCCACACTCGGAGAGGGACGCCTCTGAGCCTGTGCAGTTCACATCATCCAGCCAGATGGGTTCATATCCCAGCCCAAACTGAGCTTTAGGTGGAGCAGATATGGCTGTCCCACAGCCCAGCTGCCGGCATACCACTTCTGCATCATCCAAGTCCCAGCTGTCATCACATACACTTCCCCATTGCTGGTTATGCAGCACCTCAACTCTTCCAGAGCAGCGGTTTGAGCCATTCACCAGTCGGACTTCAGTTGGGTCTGCAATTGGGAGAGAGAGAGATACTTTCTCATGCTTGATTCATGGTTGACTCAGTGAGGGAGGAACTGAGTGTTTGATCTGATGTGGAGAATGACTCCTCACATGTTTGACACAAGTCAACCTATCAACGTTGTCTAAAAATTCAGAGATTCTTATGTGGAAAGAGCATTGCCATAGACAAGGAGAGAAAATTGGTAGAGTAAGCTTGTGCGGTGTTATTACTCACTAATTCATCATCATATGAACAGCAGCTACCTGAGCACACCACACCAGCATCTTCTCTGTGGTGGCAATTATGGACTCCTTTAGCCTTGGCTCTGCATTCAGAGAGGGCAGCTTCGGTCCCTGTGCAGTTCACCTCATCCAGCCAGATTTGGCCATGACCTCGCCCAAAGTGAGACCAGCCAGGAGCTGAGACAGCTGCCCCACAGCCCAGCTGCCGACACACCACTTCTGCATCGCTTATTCCCCATTCATCGTCACATACTGTCCCCCACTCGTGCTGATGAAACACTTCAAGTCTCCCTGCACAGCGACTTGGGCCATTCACCAGACGAAGAGCCATTGGGTCTGAAACAAAGACAAAAATGACCCTGTAGGAAGAGCACACAAAGATAACTCTGCGTATGGGATCTCATGCAGGACTTCATGAAATAGCAGGACCAGAGATTCCCATTGAACAGTCAGTTCCACCATGTTGACACAGTCAGAAGCTCAGTAATTTGAGCTGAAAACTAGCCAGAAAAAAAATGGGGGAAGCAGTGGGGATAAGATCTCCCTTGTGTTTACAACCATTCCTTGCAGCAGGGACCTTCTCATTTCCATGTCCGCTGAAGAAAATAGTTACCCATATCCTCAGTGGCAGCAAGATGCAAACATGAACGAATAAAGTGACAAAGGGTTACCTGAGCAGACTACACTGGCGTCTTCCCCATGATGGCAGTGGTGGACTCCCCATGGTTTGGCTTTGCATTCGGTAAGGGCAGACTCTGTCCCAGTGCAACTCACTTTCTCCAGCCAGATGGGGTCATAGCCTCTGCCAAATCTAGCCCAGCCTGGAGCAGAGATGGGAGCACCACAGCCCAGCTGCCTGCACACCACTTCAGCATCTTTCAAGTCCCATCCATTATCACACACTGTTCCCCACTGCTCTTGGTGAAGCACCTCCACTCGTCCAGCACACCGATTTGAGCCGTTCACCAGTCGTAACTCTGTGGGTTCTAAAATGGGAATGAGCATAATGAATAAGCAGGGATAGTGTATTCCTCAGTCTTATGAAGCAGATGCTCTGCTTCTGGTTGCAACTGTATGAAATCATACAATGCACAAGGGCATAACAGTGCTTTGCCCATTCAAATCAGCCTCTTCAGTCAGAAACAACAAAGGAACAGAAAGATCTGTCTCTTTTCATTAATGACAGGTTGGCTACCAATCTTAGAGGATGACTCATAAAGACTGTTTCCAATGCAGAAGACAGGAGGCAATGCCAGGAAGACTCCTGGACACCCAGTTCAACCTATGAACTTCAGAACAAACAGAAGTAGGTGTGCTAGGGATCACAATTCCCTAAGGGGATGTGCTGAAGGGGAAAGATTTTAAAAAGCACTATTTACAATAGCAAATGAAGGGTATGAGACATGGCTTCATTCTGTCGATATATATGGGAAGAGAACAATGAAGAATCACAGAGCCACAGAAAGAGATAAAGAGCATAAAGAAACAAAATGATTAAAAAAGATTTAAAAAAAGAGATAAAAAGATAAAAAAGAGGAGAACAGGCCAAACACACAGCAGATAGACAAAAAGGGCAGAGCAGTATCAAGCATATACCAGCATATTTTGGCTGGAGGCAATAGGAAAGACATCAGGCTAGCATGGTCTTGAAATTCAACCAATTTTAACACTGCACTCATGACAGAAAGGGCAATAGGTGTTTGCCTCAAAATGAATGAATAAAACATGAGGCCTAGGAGAGCCCTTCCCTAGTACTTTCCTGTTTGCTTTCCTCTGCTACAGCTCCTTGCAAGGTATTCCTTGAAGTCACCCAGATTTGCTCTTCTGGTAACACAGGATTGGCCTCCCTTTGCAAACTGAAGGTATAATGAGGGTGTCCTTCAACAATGGACCACCTTTAGGTATCAAGGATAACCACAGGACATAGAGTTGGAATGGCCTCCACAGTGCCAATGACCAAATAACTCCTCCGAATACATGTATTTAAACATCCATAGCAAGTTCACATGTTGTGCATGGTAATCCATTTGCGAGTTGACACATTTTAAGGTGTTAGTAGGACAAAGAACATAAACAAGTAAGAATGCATCTAGATGATCTGTTGGTATGATGCCAACAGGAAGAGCTACCTCACCTCCCACAAGCATTTTGACTGTTGCTTACAATGGTATTACACACAAAGAAAAGCAATGTCTACAGAGGAAAACAAACTGAAATTAGGTGCAGCTGTTACTACAGAAAAATAGTCCCTGAAGCTATGACGTGGACTAGACTTACCCGAGCATGCAACACCGGCATCTTCTGCATGGTCACAGTTATGGGCTCCCCAGGACTGCAAACCACATTCAGTGATGGTACCTTCTGTCCCTGTGCAGTTCACCTCATCCAGCCAGATGGGATCATGTCCTTGCCCAAACTGAGCATGGCCAGGGGCTGATATGGCCATCCCGCATCCCAGTTGCCTGCAAACCACTTCTGCATCACTGAGGCCCCAGTTGTCATCACACACAGTTCCCCACTGCTGGTTGTGGTGAACCTCAACTCTCCCTGAGCAGCGACTGGAGCCATTCACCAACCGGAGCTGAGTTGGTTCTGAAAAGAGACAAGTGTCAAGTATCCAAACATCCCAGGACTTAAGATTTGCAATTGCCTTGGAGTCAGGAGCCTGTCACTTAAATCACTGCAGAATCTCATGGCCAAAAGATAAAGAAGTCACAGACACTCAACGAGAAGAGTAGGCTCTGCTCATGCACTTCCCTCTTTCCCAAATCCACAGTCCCTTGTGAGGCAGTGTAATGTGAGGGCAGATGTCACCTTTGAAGCTCCCTGTTCCCTTCCCTAGAACACATCAATCAGACAGTCTGACCTCCACTAATAGGACTGCAATGTAAACATCTATATTCAGAACCATCTCAAAGCACTTCTGCAGCACAGCACATGTACCTTCCCCATAAAAAATAAAATGAATAAAAAGTGGTAGCTTAGGCACCAGCCCTGATGGGACAGGAATCAGAGTTACCTGAGCATTCAACACTAGCATCTTCTCCATGGTTGCAGTTATGATTTCCCCAGGAACTGGCCTGGCACAGGGAAAGGGTAGGCTCCATTCCAGCACAGCTCACTTCATCCAGCCAGATGTGGCCAGAGCCTTTCCCAAAGTGAGCTCCCGTTGGAGCTGACAATGCTGAGCCACAACCCAGCTCTCTGCATGCCACCTCAGCATCCGCCAGGTCCCAGTTGTCATCACACACTGTGCCCCACTCTTGCTCATGAAAGACCTCGACTCTGCCAGAGCAGAGGCCCGAGCCATTCACCAGCCTGATCAGGACTGCATCTGGATTGGGTGTCCCTGTAAATATTGACAGAGAGAAAGTGGTTAGGGACCTTCTTGGGCATGCAGTTGACCTCAGTGCTTAGGAGGAACATCTCCTGTCAGGCAAGTCTGGAAGGCATCCAGCAGTTAGGATGTGCATATGGGGGATTAATCACTGTGCAGCCAACAAGAAGTGAGGCCGAGAAATGGGCAAGGAGATGTGGCCCGGATGTTTTCAACACGGAATAAGACAAACAGAGAACTTGGAAGCTGAGAACAACATTTAGAAATTATCTGGGACAATCATGTAAAGAAGCTGATTCTTCACAAAATCATGGGGAAAGGGGTTGTTTGCCTTTCTGTAGGGTTGAAATTTTGCTCAAAATAAATTGTTCTATCTGTTGCTGACCATACGTATGTGTATGTATGTGTCTATTTGTGAGCAGAAGGCCTACACTCATGGTACAATCAGAAGACACCCAGGTAAGAGCATCTGAGAGTGGCAGAGTTATCCATCATGTAGTAAAGTGGATGCTGAAGGAGAACTAGGTGCTGCTCTAGGACAGCATGAGCCATATCTCCAACACTACTGACCATATTGACGAGACACGGCTATAAAGGCAACCTGCACTCAGTTCAGAAGAAGCAATGACTATGAACTCAGATATTTAGATAGGTTAAGTCTAAGTCTAGATTGGCAGTCTGAGAGAGAAAATGCAGACTGCATGAGACAGAACTTTATTGCTAGGAATGGGCATGCTACAGCTTTGGGCTCAACTATGACAGAAGATCGAGGCAGTTTGACATTAGTGGGGCCACTTCCTAGCCCATGCTTTGTGCTCTGGTTACAGAGGGCTTTGTGGTCTCCCATTTCTCTCTGTGGTCAAGCCATGATTAAGAAGCAGGAACTGTTGCATCTTTTAATCCTTCCTCTGGTAGAGCACACTGATATCCACACTAGGTGAAGCAAGATGCGATGGGATTGAGACTCACCTGAGCACACAACGCTGACGTCTTCTCCATGCCCACAATTGTGGACTCCCCAGGGTTGGGCCTCACATTCGGAAAGAGCAATTTCTGTCCCCACACAGTGCACGTTGTCCAGCCAGATGGGGTCTTCTCCTCGTCCGTACCGAGCACCGCCAAAGGCCAACAGTGCCATCCCACAGCCCAGTTGCCTGCATACCACGCGGGCTCCAGCTAGGTCCCAGCGATCATCACACACTGTCCCCCAGATACCATTGTAAAACACCTCCAGCCGACCAGTACAAGAATCAGGGCCATTTACAAGTCTTACTGGGGCAGGACCTGAAGCTGATAATGAAGGGAAGAAAGGAAATGTTAATGAGAAACTTTGGAAAAGAAAAAGCTAAACAACAGCCTGCAGGGCATTCATTTTTTCAAGTGTCTCTGCTTGTTGACTGAGAGGAAGAGGGAAGAACCAGCAAGGGAGAAAGAGAAAATAGTGGGAGTGTGTTTGTCAAGAGACAGCAGGGCACAAAGCGGTGACCCCGGCACCAAGTGGTCTACTCTCTATTTCTTCATAATGTTATGATTTTGCTTACACAAGCAAAAGCCTAACCTCCCTGTTCCTTTAACAGAAATGCACAATGACACTACGAGAGGAATATGTTTTACAGGACCACATGAAAACCAGCTCTTAGGAAAATCCCAGGCTTTTTTCTACTAGAGACAGATGCAAATACAGTCCCTCAAAACTAGCAAGGTCAAAATGATTGCTTACTAATTCCTGTTAAAGTGTCTGACTCCACACAGGTTTTAAGGTGAATGTACAAATCTAAATATACTGTGTAGCTGCACATGTAGTTGAGTTACAGACTCTTCACAGAAGCAATGTTGAGCAAGAATTCACAGTAGAAAAACATAGAAAGGTGGAAATACTATCACATGCCAAACATTCTCCTCAAATAGATGTCCTAGCATAAAGGTTTCCACAGAGATCTTCACTGGCCCAGACAGCAGAAGAAAACATAACGGACAAGAACTTGCCAAAACATAACATGTGCCCAGAAAATGACTAGGTCTAGTTGGAATCACCCCCTGCAGGAATTTTCTCAGAAGATCCAGCCAAAAAATACGGGTGTTGCATGGCCTCAGGTAAAGGCTTACAGATCAAGAAGAGACATGGATGAGGATGCAAACGGGGAAGATTCAGCTTAAAACTCCTGAAAGTCCTGATATGTAAGTGGACATGATTTGGTCTATTAATAGTAAAAGGTTACCAAATGATGAGGCAGAGATGCTATAAACACAGCTATATCTGGCTGCCTTATTTTCTGAAAGCACCTGTCTTGGTTTCTCCTTTGCCCACTTTTTTTAACCCTCCAAACTCTATAGCATATCATCTTGGCTGAGATGGCAGCAACACACTCATTCAGCACATCATCCGTTCTATACTTCTTTCTTCCTGTGCTTTAACTTGACTGTCTATTTGGCATCATTTCCTTTGCAAATGACTCTGTGGTTTTTTTTTGTTTTTTTTTGTTTTTTTTTGTTTTTTGTCTATTGACCATGATTTTGACAGTGACCTATAAGCTGTTTGCTAATTCGCTGAAAAAAAAAATCTCACCTTTTGTGGCATCCATCTCCTAGAAAATGCTAGCATTTTTGAAAGATATTTGAGCCCTCTCCAGAAATCAGGTGGAACCGAGCTGCTTTTTGTCATCTGTGCTTGGTAGTTCTGCATGAACCCTCCTTGCTGCTGTACCCAGCAAGCTATGGATGTTACTCACACACCACTTTCTAAATGTTTTCCTTATAAATCTGCAGTTAACAACAATCATACTGCACAGAAATGAAAAGGAGCAACAGCCCTCCAGTGTTGCCCATCCCCGAAATTTATACAACGAATATGAGGGGTCATGCAAGGAAATGCAAGAGCACAGTAGCAGGCAGGGGAACATTCTGCCCTGCATGAAAGGCACTCACAGAGCTGCTTTTTGTCATCTGTGCTTGGCAGTTCTGCATGAACCCTCCTTGCTGCTATACTCACCACTTTCTGAATGTTTTCCATATAAATCTGCAGTTAGCAACAATCGAACTGCACAGAAATGAAAAGGAGCAACAGCCCTCCAGTGTTGCCCATCCCCAAAATATATACAACGAATATGAGGGGTCATGCATTCTGCCCTGCATGAAAGGCACTCACCACACAGTCCTGCTAGGAGGATGAGGATCTCTGCAGCCACAGGTTCAGCATGGGCAGAAGGCCTTTTGGCCATGGGATATCCAGTCAGGAGCAGACTCATGCAGAAGCCATTCCTAGACTTGTGCAGGAAGAGATGGTTCAGCAAGGGCAGAGCTCAGGTCCACAATCATGAGCTTGAGAGAAATAAAGCAAAGATCTAACAGAAGGAATTTTGTGAGGACACTTTCTACACTGCTCTTCCTCACAGTTACGCTTACATCACATAGAGCCAGATTTATGAAAGGGAACTG